AAAGGCAGAACACACTATTTTCACATTATTTACACTCTGTAATACGGGGAATATATTAACCTGTCGCTGGTAGGTGCATATTGTGAACTCTAATAACGAGAAGTGCAAGAATAGCAATGGATGATGAAGGAGCACAAACCACAGAGCAGACTAAAGATTGTTATACAACTTATAGATTCATGCATGGGTTAAACAAGTACAGACAAATAAAAGTGAATGAGTCAGCCTCTTAACTGGGTTAACAAATGCAAAGGGAGAAAAAAGAGAAAAGCACAAAGTATTCCTGACAGATGGCCATCTAGCCTCTGTTTATAAGCCTCCAAAGAAGAAGCTTCCACCACACTCCGAGGCAGTGAGTTCCACTGCTGAAGGTCAATGTGTTCTTCCTAAACTTAACTAATGCATTATTATGCTACTTCAACTAAGGAAGATTTATAGAATTCAGTTATCTAACATGGATAAATACATTTGCTCTTTATAAAGAAATACTTTTAAGGGAGGGTTAGGAAATCCATGGCCCTTCAGATTGTGTTCACCCACATTTTCTTCCAGGCCTATTCAAGGTAATCAGATGGGAGTTACAGCTCAACACCTGAAAGCCACAAGTTTTCAATTTCTGCCTTATACCAAGAACATATATATCCTAGTGTTCAAACTTACAGACCTATACTTTGAAAAACATGTGTTGCTGCTCATGCATGCTGTGGTATCTACCATTTAACTTGTCTGTTGTAGGCAGACACAACAAGTTATAACAGCATTGGCTAGAGCAAAATCGGATTCTTTGCATTGTTTACGACAGACGCCCTGTTGTAACCTGATACCGAAAGTCTGTTTCTTCACTTGTCCACAAACCTACCGATGTATCTACAATGAGGACATGGATGAAAAGGTGCTAGGTGAGCATAAAAAGGCTTTGTAAACAGAGCTTCTTTGTCAGAGGCATTGTTAATTATACCTGTATCAACTAAAAGATCTCACAGTATTTTTAAATGAGTTTTAAAACTATTTAGCAAGTGGAGAAATGTATCTTTCTAAGGGCAGACTATTATTATTATTATTATTATTATTATTATTATTATTATTATTTCAGACATTTATAACCCGTTCTTCTCACTCCCGGAGGGGGACTCAGGGTGGCTTAGAACCAGGAACTAAATATAGGACACAGATCTGGTATGACTAAAGAGCTCAGTGGACTCTAACAAACTGAATTTATGCTCCATTGAAACTTACACACTGTAATAGATCGTCACAAAACCAAAAGGTTTTTATTTCATGGATTTCCCTTTCCAGGAAACCCCTAGGTGCTTTTAAGAAATTAAAGACTGGCATCTAACTTCCATGGTTGGAGACGCCCAACTCACACAAAGCCTACAATTATTTTAAAATGCTTCAATAATTATTCTTATTCTTGTGACTAATATTAAACTGGTGAGGGAAACTGTAGAGGGCCTGGGTCTAATTTCCGGCCCTTGCAACTCTTTGGCGACCACATGAGCTGCCAAAAATGACCCTGCCCCCACCAGGTTGCCAAAAATCCCCTTCTGATTTTGAAAAATTTGGGTTTTTTTTAATGTTAACAATGTGAAGGGGTGCAGCATGTGTAAAAGGTGACACAACACTTCTAGAGGTCTCCAAGAGAAGTGGCACGCTCTTTTTGGAAGGGAAGGGCAGAAAAACAGGTGATCTAAAGGCACCTTGAAATTTGTAGAAATAACCTTGGGAGTCCAAATGCAGCCTATGGGGACCACTTTAATAATTCCTACTTTAAATCAATGTGTTCACAGTTATTACACTGTTATTAAATATTGCATGCTAGTAGAATTTTAAAATTCCAAACCGTTAAATATTAAACATGCATTTTCAAAAGCCAAAAATACTGAGGATCAATCCTGGTATTAAAGCAACAACAAGTACTTCATCACACTAGAGCACCTATCCACTTTAAATCCAGTTGCTTCCTCCTGCAGAATTCTGAGGTTTGTAGTTTACTGGGGTGTGAAGTTCAAAGGCCACACCCTTAATTCTGCAAACGGATTTAAAGTGGATAAATGTTCTAGTGCAGTGGTTCTCAACCTGTGGGTCCCAAACACCTGGGGACCCACAGGTTGAGAACCACTGCTCTAGTGTGATGAAGTCCTAAGATTTATAGCACTTAAAGGAGTAGACTGTTATGATAAAGAACATAAAAGTCAATCCACAGAATACACACATACACGTTTTTAGAACAGCTGTGGCATCATGATTTTTGCTTTATAGACCTAGGCTCAAAACTTTCCAAACTCTACCATTCCAGATCTTTAAATATATCTATTAAACAAATTTAGACTTATGCAAGAAATAAACTGTTACTAGGATCTAAAATGTAATTATGTTGATGATATATTGGTATTAAGGAAAACTGGAAGAAAACTATGTTCTTACTGAACTGACCTTTTGTTTCAAATAATAAACAAGATTTCAGGGCTTTTTTCTTTTAATTCTAGTGTCCAATGATAAAAAAGTTGTACTTTGTAAGGTGGAGTTCACTGAAATAAGTATTTTCCCCAAAGCACAAGTTAACATTACTCTCCCCCACTATGCCAGCTTGGGAGCAAACAAAACACACACACACACACACACACACACACAATATTTACACACTACAGGGTTTTCTGCTAAGTGGTAAGGCAATAAGGAAGTCAGAGCAACATCAGAAAAATACAATCTAGATATACAAGCACGTGTATTTATGTATTTCCTTGTCCTGACTGCTGTAACTTGAGGCCACTAGAGGAAAGCTGAGAAAAAATGTAATGAACAAATAAACACTGTGTTAATATACTTAAGCTTCATATCAGTTGTCCCAGATTAAACTCTGCCACCTGTATGCAGAACATGGTAAGCCTTCCTTCTCAAACTCTGGAAAGTCACTACCAGTCACTATGGCAAACAACAATGAGATGAACCAATAGATCAACTCAGTATAAAGCAGCTTCCCATGTCTCCAATACTGTTCTCACTCATACTCCATTGTCTCACCTTTATCCCTGCACCCTTTTTGTCAGTGGCCACAATACTCCCCTTACATTTCTACTTGGACATCTCTTTTGCTATCAAATCAAGCAAAAGCTCACCACCCAATCTCTTTGTTCTTACATCCAATACATCCCTGCCTTCAGCTACACCATATTCCGTTCTCTGAAAATAGTTCTCTCTCCAAGAATTCAACACTTTATCTTGCTTTCCACCTGTGATGCCATGCCTCTTACTGTCTTTAAATCCGCTCCGAAAAATTTCACTTCTTCCGTGACGTCTTTAGCACAACCGAACTATTCTAAGTGCCTCTATTATGTCCAGTGCTGAATTATAGATAGTAATTTGTGACAAACGCTTGACTTCTCAGTATCTGTGAACATTACTGCCTTCCTGCCAATTTGTCAGTGCTTGGCATACTAAAACAGTTGGATACACTCTGCCAAATATGGTAATTTATCATAGTCTACTTTTCTTTACTATTATTTTTATTGAAGTGGTGGCAAACCAAAATCACACTCACTACTACAAATTTATGGAGTGGACAGGGTCAGAAGACAGGACCAAGGTGCAGGTTATGATATAGCAATGTGTGTGCTCTCATCGGGAGAGAATGGGACCACCAAGAAAATAATCACTTTTTCTTTTTATTATTATTTTCTCTCGTTTTCTTTACTTTTTTATTTTAATTTTAATCATGTTATAGAAAATTTCAATAAAGATTATTTTTTAAAAAAGAAAGAATATAATCACTTACTGGTTGCGTAGACAAATGTAAATGAATAGGAAAGAGGTATGTTATCATATTTAGAAAAAGGAAACATTTGGTTGGCATTGGCATCTCAGAACCCTGGGCCCAATAAAGAACGGTTAGTCATCCGAGTCTATTCTTGGTCTCTTGTTTTTATACATTTCAGATGACATTGTCCATATGTGATGAATTATGATGTACTTCCTGATTATGTTATAACTAGGCAAAGTGATATGAAGAAGCAAAATCAACCCCCCAAATGAATATGCTTTGAGAGAGTTACTCTTCTCATTAATTCCCTGTATCTAAAATGAGGTTGGAAAAGACCTACGGTGCACCTACACTGTAAAATGAGTGCAGTTTGACACCCTTTGAATTGGCATGGATCAATGCTATGGAATCATGGGAGTTGTAGATCTACAAGACATTTAACACTCTCTGCGAAAGAGTGCTGGTTCCTCACCAAACTAATACTCCCAGGATTCCATAGCATCGAGGCATTGTAGTTCAAGTGGTGTCAGACTGTACTCATTCTACACCCCAAGAGAATTTGGTACTTAAGCACATCTCTATATTGGGTTTATTTTTGCGTCAAGAAGTATGTACACACAGAAAGGGTGTGTTATGAGCAGTCCCCATAACTAATTGATATCAATCCCATAATTGATATACTTTAAAAATTTGGACATATTTATTCAATGCTACTAAATAAATTTTGCAGAACTACATTTCTCTGAAAATGTAATGTGCTAATTTGTAAGTTAAGAAAAGAAAAATGTGTCCATCTTTGTGTAATAAGTCTAATACCATTCCACTTTTTATACTCGTTAATAGGAATCCATGTTAATTCACAACTCTGAAAATTGCATTTGCAGATTGCAAAACACACAGTCTGTCCATGTTTTGCCTATTAAAGCAGGAACACTGTGTAAAATAGAGACAGCATTAGGTTTATTGCATTCAAAAGAATGTATTGAAGTTAACAAGAAACACTAGAAAGAATCAAAGGCACTCAGAACGATACTGCTCAATCTTTGATGAACAGCTTTTTAAGTCTAAAAGAAAGTTACCTAATTAGCAAAACTTGAGAAACACTTATACTGTGTAGCTATTCATTTGGAATGTAGGTACCTTTAAAGGATCAACACATAAAAGGCATTCAGTTGCTAACTTTCTTTCTGACTCATCCAAGAGCATAGAAAGAAACTAGAAATCAATTAAACTCACTCACATTGTCTCTCCAGTCTTGGCAACATGACAAAGAAATTGATCCAGTATTGGGCACACTTCCTTCTTCCCCCTTTTTTCAAAATCTACAAAGAGGACAGAAAAAGAAGAAAATAACTATTAAAAGTACACACTCCTTTGTTAGACACCATATTCACCTTCTAAATATCTTGCATTCTAAATGGAAAGCACACACTAACATGGATATGTAAACACACTCAGGCATGCTCCTTAACAGGCCTCTGAAGGAACATCAAATATATTTTAGTATCTAAACAGCTGTTATTCAACTTCTCTTTCAAAGCTAGTTTCTAATACTAGCTAGACTATGGGTAGGAAAGCAAATACAGCCAATGCAATCCAGTGATTTCTTGGAGTGGGTGGGAAGGGGAGGATACATGTGAGGTAAAGGTTGCCAGAAATGCTAGAAAGTTAAGGAAATGAAGATTAGAAGAGTGTATAGTCATGTAACAGATAAAAGAGATAATGTTGAATAAAAGGCCCAAAAAAACTTTTTTAAGGAAGGGGTATGAAAATCGGCTGGAAGGGGAAACCACTTGGGAGCTGTATGACTACCTTCTCCAAAAATGGCTTGAAAGCAGGGGGAGGGAAGGAATGGTTTCCATTTCTCCCAAGCAGTAAACAAGAAAGGTGTCTTCCCTTTCCCAAAAAAGGATGCCATTCTATTGTAATATTTACTTTTTGTACGTTTTAGCTGTGTTGTTCTTTTAAATTGTGAGCCACTATAAATCCCAATGTTGGAGATAAAACGCTGCATTAACAATACTGACTGGGAGTATTCCTTATCCAAAACCCTTGGGACCAAGAATGTTTTATATTCTGGACCCCCCACCCCCACCCCCATTTTGAAATACTTCTATTTGCATACATGCACAGAATGAGATGTCTTGGAGATGCAGCCAAGGCACAATTCATCGCTGTTTCATATACAGCTTTTAGACATAGCCTGAATGCAATGTTATACCCAATTTTTGTGAAGAAAACAACATTTGTGTGTACTGTACCCTCAGAAAGCAAAGATGTCAGGATCTCAGAGAGCATACACTGTGGAATCAGTGCAGTCTGACACCATTTCAACTGCCATGGTGCAAAGCTATGGAATCATGGGAGTTGTAGTTTGGTGAGGCACCAACACTCTTTGGCAGAGAATGCTGAAGATCTTGTGAAACGACACCTTCCATGATTCCATAGCATTGATCCACGGCATTTTCAAGTGGGGTCAAACTGTATCTTGAGATTCGTGGGCTGGCAAAAGTTTCAGGATCTCAGAGTGCATACACTGACACCATTTCAACTGCAATAGTGCAATGCTATGGAATCGTGAAATTGCCACAGCTCAATCCTATGGAATAATGGAGGTGTAGTTTTGTAAGGCCTTTAAGCCTTCCCTGCCAAAGAGTGTTTTTGGTGCCTCACTAAACCACAAATCTCAAGATACAGTTCGACTCCACTTGAAATTGCCATGGCTCGATACTATGGAATCATGGGAGGTGTAGTTTTGTAAGGCCTTTAAGCCTTCCCTGCCGAAGAGTGTTTTTGGTGCCTCACTAAACCACCAATCTCAAGATACAGTTCGACTCCACTTGAAATTGTTATGTCTCAATCCTATGGAATCATGGAGGTGTAGTTTTGTAAGGCCTTCCCTGCCGAAGAGTGTTTTTGGTGCCTCACTAAACCACAAATCTCAACATACAGTTCGACTCCACTTGAAATTGTCATGACTCAACACTATGGAAGGTGTATTGTCGAAGGCTTTCATGGCCGGAATCACTGGGTTGTTGTAGGTTTTTCCAGGCTATATGGCCATGTTCTAGAGGCATTTTCCCCTGACGTTTCACCTGCATCTATGCAAGCATCCTCAGAGGGTGCTTGCCATAGATGCAGGCGAAACATCAAGAAAAAATGCCTCTAGAACATGGCCATATAGCCCAGAAAACCTACAACAACCCACTATGGAAGGTGTCGTTTCACAAGATCTTCGGCCTCCCATGATTCTATAGTACTGAGCTATGGCAATTTCAAGTGGAGTCAAACTGCTTGTTAAGCTTTGTGGTTTCAAACTGTATCTTGAGATGTGTACTTTTGTGAGGCAGCAGAAACATTCTTCAGCAGGGAAGGCTTAACCACCTTACAAAACTACACCTCCCAAGACTCCACATCCTTGAGCCATCTACGATGTGGAAGTAAAGCACAGATTGGCATGGTAGGAGTTGTAGTGTAGTGAGGCACCAGCAGCCTTTGACAGAGAAGGCCTTGCCAAACTACAACTCCCAGGATTCCACAGATTGGCATGGTAGGAGTTGTAGTCTAGTGAGGCAGCAGCAGTCTTTGAAAGAGAAGGCTAAAGGCCTTGCCAAACTACAACTCCCAGGATTCCATAGCCTTGAACCATGGCAGTTAAAATGGTGTCAGGCTGCATTCCTTCTATTGTGTAGGTCAAGTATGGGCTAACTTGGGCCCTTCCGGTGTTTGGACTTCAACTCCCACAATTCCTAACAGCCTGAGGCTGTTAGGAATTGTGGGAGTTGAAGTCCAAAACACCTGGAAGGCCCAACTTGGCCCATGACTGGCGTAGATGCACCCTCAGCCAGTCAGATAAGGGATGCTCAACCTATAATAATAATAGGGATTGATGGGAGCTCCCAAGTACACTAAAGCGAAGCCCAGGCCTCGTGTCTCCCATTCCTGAGGGCAGTGTCCTCTTCCCTTTCCGTATGACCTCAAGGTAACCTGGAACCCTCTCCCCAGAGCCAACCAACCCCCACAACCCTCTCACACACCTTTCAGTGCTTCCTGCAGCCTCTCAACATCCATGGTCCGCAGCTACCTCTTCCTCCTCCTCCTCCTCCTCCTGCCCCTCGGGCCCTCACACAAGGAACAGGCCTCCAGAAGCAGAACAGGGGAGATATTTCTTCAGCCACTCCGAGAGCGAGAAAGAGAGAGGGGAACGACCGAGAGGCGAATGACTCCCAAGAGAAAGGAAAGAGAGAGGAAACACACACTCAAAAAGAGAGAGACACAGAGAGAGAGAGAGAGGCAAAACCCCCGGCGGCCGGGCTCAGCAACCTTCCAACATGGCGCCCAAGCCGTCGCCGTGCGCGCCGCCGCCGCTTGCTGCGCGCGCACGCAAGCACGCACGCACACACACACCGCGAAAAAACAAGCTTCGCCTCTTCCCGCCGGCACGCAGAGGCGCGCGAGGAGGAGGTGGTGACGTCACGGCCCGAGAATGATTGAAAACCTGAAGGAACAGCTCGAGTTGGGATTGGCCGAGAGAAGTCTTCCTCTCTCTCTTTTTTTTTTTTCAAACTGACTTTTTCTCTCTGCCCCGCCCACTTTGGGTGACGTCACGCTTCGGTGGAAGCCGGATTCGAGAGGAGATGCCTTCTCTTTTTTATTGGTTCTAAGCCCCGCCCACTCCATGTGACGTCACGCTTCGATTGAAAGCCAGGTTTCTTCCTTTCTTCATTCAGTCTGAGGAGAGAGAAGAGAGAAGGTGTGTTTTGACTCTTTTTCAGCATACCTTTGAGCAAAAAGTTAGATATTTTGACAGCAGCTTTGATATAATTGTGGCAAGTAAGCATGAGTGTGGTTTACTAATGATACAATATAATATATATTGTATATACATATAATATTTAGAATATTATAATGTAATATAATATTATACTACTACTAATAGTGCAATATTATAATTATATATTTTATAATACAATATTATAATTATATCTCTCCTTCGGGAGATTTTGCGGGGTATAAATAAAGTTAATAATAATAATAATAATAATACAATATAATGGCATACTACAATATAGTAATACATAATACTGATACTGTACTATGCTAAGTTCGAAAACATGCAAATGTGAGTAGATCAGTAGGTACCGCTCCGGCGGGAAGGTAACGGCGTTCCATGCAGTCATGCCGACCACATGACCTTGGAAGTGTCTACGGACAACGCTGGCTCTTCGGCTTAGAAATGGAGATGAGCACCACACCCCAGAGTCAGACATGACTGGACTTAATGTCAGGGGACTACCTTTACCTATATATCTTGTAAGTCACTCTGAGTCCCCTTTGGGAGTGAGAAGGGTGGCATATAAATATTGTAAATAAATAAATAAGTGAATCTAGACTAAGTTTAATGCAGTTTGGCACCACTTTTAACTGTCATGGCTTAATGCTGTGCAATCCTGGGAGTCCTTCTCTGCCAAAGACTCCTCACTCAATTATGACTCCTAAGATGCCATGTCAGATAAAGTGGTATCAAACTGCATTAATTCTACAGTGTAGATCAGGAATGGGCAAACTTGGGCCCTCCAGGTGTTTTGGACTTCAACTCCCACCATTCCTAACAGCCAGTAATGTTCATTTGTGGGATTAACATAACTCAAAAACCACTGGGCGAATTGACACCAAATTTGGACACAAGACACCAGCAGGCCAATGAGCGACCATCACTCATAAAAACACTGAAAAACAGCAGAAGAGACTTAAAAAGCAAAAAAAAAACAAAACCCAACTTTACAATGCATGCACAAAACCACATATATACACAAATATATACACACACAAAACATACACAGCAACTCATGGCAGGGAACGGCTAGTACCACTAATAAAGTATTTTATAGTGATGTGAATATCAGAAAAGAAATCTAATATCACTTTTAGCCTTTATTTATTTATTTATTTGTCGTGTCAGGACAACCAGTCGAATTATATTACATTTCTAACAAAACAAAGCAAACAAACAGACAAAATACAGAATGTGTGTGTTTGATGGTTGATTAAATGTCCTTTGACCAGTATCTGGCCACTTGGAGTGCTTCTGGTGTTGCTGCAAGAAGGTCCTCCATTGTGCATGTAGCAGGGCTCAGGTTGCATTGAAGCAGGTGGTCAGTGGTTTGCTCCTCTCCGCACTCGCATGTCGAGGATTCCACTTTGTAGCCCCATTTCTGAAGGTTGGCTCTGCATCTCGTGGTGCCAGAGCGCAGTCTGTTCAGCGCCTTCCGAGCCTCCCAGTCCTTTGTGTGCCCAGGGGGGAGTCTCTCATTTGGTGTCAGCCATTGGTTGAGGTTCTGGGTTTGAGCCTGCCACTTTTGGACTCTCGCTTGCTGAGGTGTTCCAGCGAGTGTCTCTGTAGATCTTAGAAAACTATTTCTAGATTTAAGTCGTTGACGTGCTGGCTGATACCCAAACGGGATGAGCTGGAGATGTCACTGCCTTAGTCCTTTCACTATTGGCTGCTACTTCCCAGCGGATGTCAGGTGGTGCAATACCGGCTAAGCAGTGTAATTTCTCCAGTGGTGTAGGGCGCAGCCACCCTGTGATAATGCGGACTTTTAGCCTGATATGTTTTAAGTAAAGGGTTGGTTTTTTTTTGGCTGAACACGTGAAGCCCACGGTCAGTTATGCAGTGATATAATATATACATATTAACATTGTTTCTTAATACCTGGATGTGTGTGTAACCTGATGTCTGTATATTTATGTACATGTGCTTGTACATGTGTGCGTACTCTGACATTTGCACACCCTGTCACTTGTACCTTTTTGATGCTGGTCATTGACCGTAATAAATGTTTAAAAAATATATACACATATTTAATCACTATCACCTCTCTTTTGTAAGAATCAAGCCGTAGTTTTCCCACATGTTTACACAGTGCATTATCTTTTGAATGACAGCTACAGAAACTAGAGCTTGACAGCAGATTAAATATCTTTATAATTAAATCATCTTTGTTTAATATAAAAATCCACTTGTTAATACCAAATGTCTTGGGCAAATCGTTTCTTTTTTTTATTGTGTCAGAAGCAACTTCAGAAGCCGCGATGGCACAATGGGTTAAACCCTTGTTCCAGCTGAACTGCTGACCAGTTCAGCTGGAACTGGTCAGCAGTTCAGTGATTTGAATCCACAAGACGGGGTGAGCTCCCATCTGTCAGCTCCAGCTTCCCATGAGGGGACATGAGAGAAGCTTCCCACAGGATGGTACCACATCCAGGCGTTCCCTGGGCAACGTCTCTACAGACGGCCAATTCTCTCACACCAGAAGTGACTTGCAGGGGCGATGGTTAATATTCAATCTGAATACAATAAGAGACTCTCGTTTAACTGTTACCTATGGGGACTGGTAAATGCCGGATAAAGGTAGTTTATTGCTGCTTGAGAGCTACTATTACTATTAAAAATAGACATAACTAATACTATACCCCAGGCATGGGCAAACTTGAGCCCTCCAGGTGTTTTGGACCCGCTGTTAGAAATTGTGAGAGTTGAAGTCCAAAACACCTGGAGGATCAAAGTTTGCCCATGCCTGCTATCCATAAACTCAATATTGACTTGATATCCTTATGAAATACAACAATTAAAAGCAAATAAAGACAGTGTAACACTGTTTGACCATATTATAAACAAAAAGCTTTACGAATCCAGTATTGGGTGGTTGTAGTTTTTTTCGGGCTATATGGCCATGTTCTAGAGGTGTTCTCTCCTGACGTTTCGCCTGCATCTATGGCAAGCATCCTCAGAGGTAGTGAGGTCTGTTGGAACTAGGAAAGTGGGTTTATATATCTGGAATGACCAGGGTGGGACAAAGAACTCTTATCTATTGGAGCTAGGTGTGAATGTTTCAACTGACCACCTTGATTAGCATTTGAAGGCTTGGCATTTGAGGATGCTTGCCATAGATGCAGGCGAAACATCAGGAGAGAATGCCTCTAGAACATGGCCATAAAAACCTACAACAACCAAGTGATTCTGGCCATGAAAGCCTTCAACAAAACATTGAATCCAGTATTATTTATTTGGGGGATGTTTTGCTGGTTGCTTGAGATTTCTGATTGCTTGAGTTCTGATTAACTGAGAGTCGACTGTATTATTATTTTGCATATTTAAGGACTCACTGAGTCGCAAGTTTAAACCATAACACTATGTAACAGGTTTTTTGTTCCTGGGTCGTAAATGTCATTTCCTAATTGGTTCTATCATGAAACATGAGTCTCAACCAATTCAACATAGTTTGTGGCAGCCACAGAAACAAAGTTTCTGGAGTATAACAACTACTTTCAAAGGAAGTACCACACAATTAAACAGGAAATAACACTTTCAAACCAGGAACATATTTTTTCACATTTTGTTACATAGTATAATTAATGCACTTTTTAGATCAAATTAATATTTTCTTATAATACAGCTCTCGCTCGATACATGAATGATAACGTTCTCTTGGCCATTGAAATGGACAACAAGCAGCCAATATTCCTAGTGACCACATGCCTAGCAAGTTTCTACTTCTTAAGCGTTTTGTTTTTTAATTTGCATAGTTTTACATTTATTGTCCAGAGAAAAGCAGAATAATAATAACGTAAATAAAATAAATGATAAATTTCCTTAAGCACAGACAGAAGATATAGTTTGTTGGAATACATTTATTAGATTAGTAGACTTAACTTTGACTGCCCTTTTCTTATTCAGCTTTTCACCCTTGATTTAGAACAGCCTTTAGAGACAGAGACCTCTATTTGAGTATGAAAAGTTGCTTCAGCTTAGAAGAGTCGGTTTTTCATTGCTTAACAACAATATTACAAATACAGTTCTTCCATGTGTTTTCCTTTCAATGATGTCAGCTTTTTAAAAAAACAATCTAGTTGTAATACTGTGATTTCCCCAATCTTTCTCCTTCTGTGTGGCTGACCGTCTGGTTAGAACTCAAATATTTCACTTTGAAGTTGTTTGAATATTCAGCATTCACAGAACTGGGAGCTACATTTTTCAAAGCTTAAAAGTCTCCTTGAACAGTAGCTCTTGACTGTCTTTGCTCCAAGCACGCTGTGCAATCTCCACATAATAAATTACCACTTTCAAGCACCATCTTGAAACCTACCTCTTTTCTTTTGATTTTGGGTATAATTTTCACTGGGATGTTTTATTCGCCAGGGAAAACATTTATCTTAAGAATAAAGGGAGAAAAGTAGACTACAAACTTAATTCATAGAATGTATTGTCGAAGGCTTTCATGGCTGGAATCACTAGGTTCTTGTGGGTTTTTTCGGGCTATAGAGCCATGTTCTAGAAGCATTTCTCCTGACGTTTCGCCTGCA